TAATTTTTTTTTCTCAGTACTTGAAAAAATTCCAGACTTTTGGAGCAAATTCCCTGACTTTTCCATATTTTCCAGGCCATTTTTTCCCCTAACTTTTCCAGGTTTTCCAGATCGCTGGGAACCCTGGTATGATATCTTGTATAAAATAGTATGAGAGTTTTTTTTTATTTTTTTTTTTTTAGGAACCCTTAAATAACTAAACCATGAAGAAAATGTATTCAGAGGTCAGATCAGATACAGTACAATTCATTTGCTAAAAACTCAGCGGGAAAAATATAGGGATCGGCCGGCGTGCCCGGCCCCCCTCGCCCCCTCGGGAAAAACGGTTGTCACGTTGGTCCCGTCGGGAGATGCGCGGTTTTTCCTTTTTCCCGTCCTATTTTTCTTCGGTCTGATGACTCGGCTGCCCGGTTCGTTCGTTTCTCTGGAAATGGCCGTGGATAATGGATTTACTGCGGAAGCGTAGTGCACCGTCAACCGTCATTGTCTCGCAATTTTTTTGTCTTCAGTCATGGAGAATCCGTGGTCAAAGCTTGGGCGTCATGCGAGGCGTGGGCATGTTTTTCGCAACCCCTCCTTGCGGCGCATGGAACGGCGTGGCGAAATGCGACTGGTGCGTGATTTGCCGTATTCGTTTCGACGGAGCATTTACGATGTTAATGAAAGAGATTCTTATAAATTAAATTTATAGAGATATATTAATACTGAAGCTTAATATTGAAGAAATGAATTAAGGACGGACATTTTGAAACACCGCAATTCAGATACGTGGTTTCGCACTTCAGTCGGTGCGATACGGACATCCATCAAGTTTAAAAAATGCATCAAGTCCCCGTCACCGCCGACCAACGCGTTTGTCGATCGAATCAATTACAGGTAGTATGAGCAGGGGGTCTAAACGCCTTCAATTTTTTGAACGCAATACGGACATCCGTCGAGGTTGTATAGTTGTATCAAGGCGCCGTAGCAAAAGCGTCCCATTGTTTATCGTTACATACGAATATAAGTTGGACGTATTTATGCGAAAAGGAGATATGTGGAAGTGGAAAGATGGGGTGTGCTCGTTAGTGGTCGGGCCATAAGAATGAATGGAGAATATAAAGCGCCAGTGACGTCAGCGGCGACGATGGAGACTCCGAGCCGCGGATCCGTGTCTTTAACTCATGAGCCCTGTCCACAACGATCTCTTGCCATGCCCGCGGCTCATGAGTTAGCATATTTTGGCGCTTAGCTCCTTTTGATTTAATGTCAAATCCCGCTTTTCAATTTTCTCAAAAGGAGCTATATCCACTTTTACATTGTTTCTTATGGCCCAACTAACGAGCACACCCCATCTTTCCACTTGCACATATCTCCTTTTAGCATAAATACGTCCAGTTGAGAGAGGCCAGTCATAATGCCTTCAATTTTATACATACATATTTTTGGGCAAAATGAGAGACGACGTTTCTCCTTTTGCTACGTTGCAGACTTCCTTCGAAATTTTATTTTTCTTTCGAGAAGCTGGTCAACATAAAACTTAAATTCTCCATGTTTTTTCGTATTCGATAGCAGAAGATTTGGTTCAAAATTATATGAGCTTTGGAAGCAGACAGAGATGCAAAAGCCACACAACTGTTGTACCTCAAAATGTTGGTCATGAAATGGGTTTGGAGAAGAGGTCGCGAAGTTGGTCTTTGATTTCAGGCTCGGCAAGTCTGAAAAGACCATTACGACAACATCTGTTAAAATGGCCGTTTACCTTCTCTTTTTTGAAATGCAAGGCATCACAATACTGGCACTTCACATTTATAAGTCCGAAATTATTTTCCGGAATAATTTAATTTTTCCAGATTATAAATTTAAATTGTTATTAAATGATGATCAATTCAAAATTCCAATTTCAATTTCCAAAATTTCAGAGCATGTTATATCTTCTTTCATAATTTATTGTCAATTCAAGTTGCTATTCAATTATAATAAATAACTTGAACGTGGTTGTTCAATGATTTCTTACGAGCAGTTTCCTTTAAGTATTTAGCGGCCGCGTAGCGACCTCAGGCCCCTAGTTTCTGGTATAAAGACGTATTGATGAAGAGAAAGAGAGAGAAGACATCCATGCGAGCTTGAAGAGATGGAAATCTTTGACCACCAAATTGCGTTTTCTTGGCAGGAACTCAAATCCGGTAGACAATTGGACGTACTTATGCTAAAAGGAACTATGTTACTTGCAAATCCTATGCACATAGTTTCCTTTAGCATAAATATGTCCATTTGTGGTTGTGCCAACCGCTAACCACCATAACCCAGGGAGTTGATAAATTGAACAGTTTTCTCCGAACTACTCCGAGAGTCCAAACCTCATAATCCAAAGAATGATTGTTGCGTCAATCTGAAGCAAACTTTTGCTGTGAATGTACGTGGTGCTGCATGTAAAATTGCGGTAAATTTGTGGTTAGTAAAGCTCAAACTATCCAAACGAAGTTTCTTCCCAAGAATTCGACTCTAGATCATTTCTGGTTAACTCGGTCTAATTCTTACCCAATATCTTATGGTCCATTCTGCCTCCCTGATTAAAACCGTCGATTGAACCTTCAAGCGTTGCCAAATTTTCTTTGATAAAATTCGTTATGCTTAGGAAATTTTTGGACATTGATTTTTCAATTTTGCAGAGATTTTTATTTGTCATTTAATTTTAAAAACCCTTTGTCCACCAGTTAGCTCTAAATTAGTCATTTAGTCAAGCTAATGTAAACTTTCTTAATACTGTCATGGTAGGTGAAATACATAAATAAAAGGTAAAAAAAATAAAAAAATAAAGAAACCTGAATATTGCTGGGAGAATTTTTAATGTTTATCCACCAAAAAAGTGTTTTTCATGACGGAAATTTAGTAATATTTGAAGGTTCATACGACGTCCTTTCTTAGCACGGTAGCATCGGACTAAGAAATCAAGTCTTACCGGTAACCGAAATCCACTTTCGTCGCATTTACCTTTTTAATGAATCTACGCTAAGTTGTTGAAAAATATCATGCACTTAAATTGGGAATGTTTCCAGACACGGAGAACGCAGAGCATGCGCAGAGTAGATAGCGAGCGGCCAAAGCGAGAAGTCTACCAGGGGCTCAAAAGTTCGAGCGCTATAGAAACGGAGAGAGGGGCGGAGGGGGGCGGGCTTATTGTTGAAAACACTGGACAATGCAAAAAAACCAGGTTTCATTGTTACGGAGCTACAGCGGAGCGGAGATTTAATATACGCTATCAATGAAGAGATGCAATAACGAACAAAAGTTGGGTCCAGAAACACGGACACGGAGATAAGTTTTTTGTTCTCGCTTGAGCCGTAGCGCAGCGGTAACGGGGTCCGAACTAAGTGGCCCCCGGTGGGAGCGGCAGAGGTGGTGTTAGTCGAATCATCGCAGAGTTGCCATACACATTCAAACCCCATATTATCCGAACCTCCCAGAATTATCCGAAGAACTTAGGGGAGCCTCATAGGAGCCGGGGGTGCAGCTGAACAATAGGACGGATAACTTGAAAAGGGACGGAACGACGTATCTTGAGATATGTCTCTTTGTCACAAAATCAGTTAAAACACGTTGAATATATTAGAAATATCCTTGAACATTCCGTAAAGGAGGGAAGATTATTTATCAGTTACAGTAATGTTAAGTTGAAGTTGGAAACCTCCTAAGTGATCATTGTGTTTTACTCGAAGTACTGATCGGTTAGCATCCATGCTGAGAGGAAAATGTTGGTCTGAACCGAAGTATGGTTTTCTAAATAGGCCTCATGTTTGATCCTCAGAACCCCACTTTCGGTCCGTGAAACTGCACTCTCGGTCCACGCTATCCAACTCGTTCTTTAATCTGGCTTGTGCTATTCAACTGTTTTTCAGCTCTCCACCGTTTGGAAATTCGATAATAGGAACCAAAAGCACTGTGAAAGGAATTGAATCATTTATTAACTCAACACTATGCACAGGTTCGTTCGACCAAAGTTTTTTAGAATACTCTGTATGATGGTGCTTGGTTTCTCACCCTCTTTTATGGTCCATTAAGTCACACTTTGAACCATCCATAAAGTTACACTATGATCGTCCATAAATGAATAACTAGGACGCTTTTTCTGATTCTTAGGACTCTTTTCTACCAGCTAGTTCAAAGGCAATCCCCGTAAGAAATAAATGAAGTTAGATTGACCCCGTTCCTTTACTTTTGGAGGTGAAAACGTGAAGAAATGTCAGAATTTTTGCGATCCTTCAACTCTGCAAAACATAGAAGGCAAAAGGCTCCCTTAAAGCTTGCCTTTAAAATCAGTGTTCGAAACTCACAGGCACCAACGCGCCAAATGCGCCTAAGAAATCGGTCATGTCAGCTAAAATATGAAGGCTCTACGCCATCGTGGCCCCTAAAAATTGTCCCCCCCCCCAAAAAAAAAAAAAAAAAATCCTAGTTTTTATGTTTGGTGATTTTTCGAAATTTCCCCCAAGTAGCAGCTATTAGTTCTGTAACTAAAAGATCTTGCGTCTGACTTTCACTAAATGCGCCATGATACATGGGCGAAAAGTCAATTTGGACCCTAAAAAATCCTCAATGGCCCCTGAAAATCGAACTTGATGCGCCACATGGCTCCTGAAATTCCAAGGTGAGTTTCGAACACTGTCTCCTTCTCGTAAGGGACCCATGAGGCACCAATATACCGATTCCCAGTTGTGTTACGTACGTAGCTACAGGACGAGGCTTTTAAGGGACACGTGCGGCAACCCTGCGGGTCATGCGGTTAAAGAGGTAGCAAAGCTATTACCAGGAAAGATGATGAAGCGAGCTGCAATGAGCGAGAGATGAAAAGTGACGTCACTGGCTGGAGAAGCATGCGGCATGCTGTAGCCCGAGCAGGAAGGGACGAGAATCCAGAGCAGAGGGCGAAGGCCAGAGAGAGGAGCGAGAGGGGAGAAGGGCGAAGGGCGGGATGCGGGGGGATGCGGGAGGGTTAAAGTGAAAGTGGTGGATTTACTCACTGGAAAGTTGTCCGTTGCGGGGAGGCGGGACGACCGGGTGCGGGGGCGAGTGAGGGGGTGGCTCACCACGCTGGGGGTGCCTCGAGGAGGGGCCTCCGGGTAGTGAGGCGGCGCCGGGGGTGCCGGGGGAGCCGGACTCGATACAACTCTCCGGCGGACTCGCCACTGGAACCACACCACAACACAATCGTCTATTACTCCGTGCTCAGCTCCATCCCCATCCCAAAACCCCCTCGCGTCGGCCGTTCAAGTAATACTTCAACTACTCCACCGGATCGCCCTTGTCTCACCTTACTTTGCGGCTCTAACAAGGGAGGAAAGAAGCGCCCAATTATTCTTTTACGCAAGCTTCCTTATTTAAAGGCTAAGAAAATCGGATGAAATGCATTTATCCAGCTACTTTTCAACTTTCTCCATCATAATAATCAGAAAACAAGACTGGAAAATAAGGAACGTATAAATTCAGATAAAATGGGAATCGCTCAAATCCTCCGTTATTTTCTGACTAATGGGGAAAGGGGTTGCAGGCCAATCTTACGTAATTCAAAAGGAAGGAGAAATGATCTCTTGCGGGCGCCTTACAAAGGAGAGGGCTGGTTAAAAATTTTGGCCAAAGTTCCCAACGTAGTACTTGAACGGCCTCTTGAAATGCATGCTTGGTCACAGAACAGGTTTCTTGACAGCTTTTTAGTACTAAAATTAGGGCTCCTTGAGGAATTTTCAGGAAGATCTCATTCGTGAAAGTAAGAGCTTTTACGAGGGTTTAAGGACTTGTAAACAATTTAAATTCGTAATCAAGTTTCTGCAGAATGGTAAGATGTTTCAAAAAATTGCCATTTAATTCGAGAACACGATGAAACTGCTGACCCCTGCTTGAAACATAACCTTGTTGTGAGAGAAGCCTCGGAATAATATATGGATGAGGATCAGAGCCGGTTTTTGAGGAACAGAACATAAAGTCTAAGTTTTCAGCATTTACATGGTCATTTTCAAGGCTGAACAATCTACACTTTGAATGTGTTTTATCATCAAAACTATAGCTTTCAACTCAGAGGGCTGGTCTCATCAAAAAGGTTCATTTTAACCGTACGTAGTTAAGATTCCGATGTTCTAAGAGAAGGCACTAAAAATACCCTCTTTTCGGAGGGATTTTTCATGTCTTCATTTTTTTTCTCCATTGCAAAAGAGGAAATACAGACCGTTTCTTTCAAACGGGCGTTAAAAAAAACATCAAATTACATCAAATTTGGAATCTCTCCAGGGTAGTCATCATGTAAAATCAGGAAATTTGAAAAAAATATTCTTCTTGAATTTTTAACTTTTACGAAAATCACAAAAATTCTAAAATAATAACAGGATCGAGGACGTTTGAGGGTGTCACGAACCTCGCAGAAAAGCGAGGTATGAGACCGGTGACCGTCAAGAAGATGAGGAACCTCACGCAGCAGAAACTACTCTAGAGGAACGATTCTCCTCATATTTACTTATAAATTATATTCTTCAGAGGAAGATAGTGTTTTAAAAAAATAAAGACAAGAACAGGTAAACAAGTAGTCTCAATACGAAAAGTTGAAGAGCGGGCCGAAATCGAGGTCTGAATTAAATGAGTGTACATCGATTTTGAAACTGGATAGAAAAAGAATAGGTATCTCGATTGCAAAGTCGTATATTTCCGAAACCTCCAAGATGCTATTCTAGACTCCTTCCACCACATTGGATTTTTACAGTTTGAAAATTCAACTTATACGTCAAAAATACCTTCTGGCACAATGTTTCCTGACAGGCGATCGACTACAAAGCATTTTAGGCCACATCCACCGTCTTGGATTTTCAAATTTTGAAAATTTGAGAAGAAATCCAAGTTTCCCGTCAAAAAATTCCACACGGGGTCCAGTTTCACGAAAATCGATCCGCAAATCGTACAATCAGTAGGACTCGACACAGTGGTAAACGATACCAGTCAATTTACAAAGATTAGCGCGCCTTCAATCTCGTCTGATACCGCGCAATACTTCCGAGGTGGAATAGTTGCTCAGCGCGCCTTCCGCAGTATCGCTTCGATTTGATGGTAGAAGATGACGATAGCTGCTGATACTACGCTATATTGCGTGCGCAGTTACACATTTCTCCATCATCAACATTGTGGTAAGAACACTCCTACCTCAATTTGCGACGATGCAACTCTTTCACTGCCTATTTTCTACAGGTTTCGCCTCGAAATCGAGCTGGCCGTTACATTTCCCACTCCCTCCGCCCAATTCCTCTCCCTTTATATTGTCAACGAAAACTCAATATGGTTATATTTCAATATCGGACGATTTAAGAGTCTAAAAACATGGGNGGGGGGGGGGGGGTTGTGGTGAAGAAGGGCGTAGGTCATGGAGGAATATATTCAGAAGCAATAAGCGTATGGAAACCGTGGAAACAAGACTTGTGAGTAACAACCCGTCTGAGTCTACGCTGCGCGGCCACGTTTGGCGGAAACATTCATGCACTCAATGTCGCGCCCTATGCTAAAAAGAGCTTTGTTGCAAGTAAACCCTATGCACCTAGTTCCTTTTATCTTACGCCTGATACGTCCAATATACAAGAGCGCCGACAACATCTGAGCGGCAAGACTAATGATGCTTTTGAGCTCCCGTCGACCATTTTTCACGGGAACCTGCAATTTCGGATTGATACCCGCTCGTAACACGATATGTTTCTCATCACAAAATCTTGTGTTTATCATGCCGTCACCCTCCAACCCTCACCCTCCCACCACCCATCCACCCCCGGACCCCGCCAAAACACGAAACTAAAAGCTTCCAAGCTTCGGAAACTTTTAAGCTTTTACGCGAGGTACTAAACTTGACCGTGAAATCTGCGGGTCGGACAGGTTTTTAATGTTAGAAGATTGAGTAGGTCACGTGCAATGGTGCGGAAGAGATTGGTGCACTGTTATACAGATGTCAGTGTTTATGGTTACTTAGGGTTACTTGGAGTTACTTTTTTCCTGTCAGATGAACCAAATGTTTATGCTTTTTCGACCAAATTCTTGATTAAATCGATCAAAACAGTGAGTTTTTCTGAGACATTGGAGGATGAAGAGAGTGTTGCACGCAGCTAAATTGATGCTATCGTTTCCCTCAACTTTACTCAAAAGTTGCGACTTGCAATAAATTGAAGCGCGCATTGGACCATCACCAAAGTGATCCGGCTTTGATACTGGCATGTCGGTCTGTATTTAGAAAGGTTGCACATTTCTAACACTGAGATTTGGTCAATGTAATCCAAAGAAAAACCGACCTGAACATATTAACAGTACGTTGAGTTAGGTTACTTTGTGTTAGACTTTTCATACTGAGACAAAATTTCGTTTTTTTTCTTATTGTGTGCGTCTAGACTGTCACGTGCTATGAGTGCAAAAATTGTGAATAATTATCCTGAGTGGTCCACGATCCGCTTCATGAACAAAAAATAACTTCGGTGATTTTACACTAACAATGGGAAAAATAAATGAAAATATAAAACAAAAGAAAAACGCAGGAGATGACTACAGTTGACTGATTCGTAGGACATTTCGTTGTTTCCCTTGACTTTTCCCGGATTTCTCTGCTTGTAACGACTCTTGAGTAAAAGAGTAAATTCACTCATAAGTACGATGAAAATATTCCAATGGACTTTTTGGAATCTCTCTGTGCGGAGCGAATTTCTCTAGCGGTGCAACACGAATTATACTATACTACAAAAACAAGTACGGGGTTATTTACAATTATAAAATGTCTCCTCGCCCTTAAGGTTAGTATCTGTTGTATGCCGCGCATGACGAATAATGGCGGAGAAAAATGAAACAAGCAGTTCCAACGCCAAAGCGTTGGAGGGCGCTTCTTTAACACTGCGCATGCGAGGAACGTTTTCATACGGCCAAGCGAGAGTATTGCGGACGGACGATGTATAACAAATTGCCTACGTGAAGGTGGTCCGGCAGCAACATACCCGCCGCTAGTCTCTGGAAAACAATAGAAAATAGTAGTTGCGTACGTTGCCAGCGAGCGCGCTGCGAGCGCATCTGTTTCAATTACCTAGCATCGAGTCGGGCCTCTAACTTTCTATTCTCTCTGACATAACCTTAAACCTTCAACCCAGAGCCGCAAACAGCTGACGCTTGACGATGCTGCGCCGAGAAAATGAACCAATCACAAAATAGCACAGTAATACGTCACTAAAATGAAGAGATCACGTGACTGTTCGTGATTTTTTCGAATCAATCTGAAACTACAACCTCGAATATGAGGCATTTAAGCATAACGAAGCCCCAAAATAGTTTAACCAGGTAATACGTCCGTGCGAGATTGTTATGCTTAAAAGCAAAACATTTCACGAAAACTTTTACGAATACCAGATGCAGAAAAAAATCAAATTTTCCCGGGTGTACCAGAATGGCGTCATTACCCATAAGGCAAAACGGTATGTAGTATAGTACATGTTACATCGGGGGAGTCGAACGGCTGGAAAGGGCGCATCTGGTACCCAGAAGCGCCCAAAAAAAGAAGGGATAAATTATATAAATACAAAAAAATTATGAAACAGGAAAACAGAAGGAGAGAAAAGATAAAAAAGAGAGAAAAAATGGATGAGGAAAATAAAAAAGAGATAAAAGAGAAGAAAAGAGTGAAGATAAATGAAAAAATGGAAGAAAAAAGGGGATGCAAAAGCGAAGGAATGACGTTATACAGAAGTAAAGAAGGAGACCTGAAGAAGAAAAGAGAGAAAAAAGAGGAAGGAAGAAAGCGGAACAAACGTTTGATCTTAAAAAAGAAAGCGTTGGTATTAACATATTGGGAGGTGGAAACAAACTCGTGAAAAGTCGGGCACTTTTGAGACACAGGAATTGGTAAAGATAATAATAATGGTCCCACTGGGACTTGCACTGACCGAGTCTTGGGCATCAGGATTCCAAATAAACGTTTGACACGCGGAGCGGAAGAGGACGAATATTTCACGGGAAACGGAAGGAAATCCTTGAAAAATTTAATATTTCCGTGTTGTGAGGGCATCAGGCATGGACGCATGCGACAACGCCACCGTAAGCAAAATGCCGTATGAGCATTCGAATAATGCCAGATTTCCTCTCAGAATTTGTTTATTTTTGAAGAAACTTATGCATATTTCTCCTTTAAATT